GCTTGGGACCGAGCAAAATGTTGCATTTAGAGAGGGATTGCACTTATGGAGGTTGCATTTATGGAGGTTTTACTGTACGTAGTTCATACCAAATATTAAGTAATTAATAAAATTTGTAGTCATAACGGTTGGCTTTTATTAAAAAATTTTATTTTATTTTCAGTTGTCAAATTGTGCTCATTACGCCCCAAAAACTGACCGCCTTGCTTTTTGCCGGTATTGGGAGAAAGGTTAAGCGCGCAATTAAAAGGTACTCGAAGCATAGTTGAGCACTTTATGACCTAGACAAGACATGTTACAGAGCAATTGCATACTTAATGATAACATATTTGCAAACTACATAATAGCTTACAGTAATAACTAAATAAAGAATTAGGTTCGTAATATTACAAATTGAATTACTATCTATATATAAATATTATTAAAAAAAATTTGGATTTCTGCACGGTGGACGGACATTGCATATTTGCATGACGCTATTGCATACAGTGTAACGCAGAAGATTTTTCTGGATCACGTGCCTTCCTCCGTTTTGTTATAAATGTTATAGTTAAGGTTTTGAATTTCTTCCATTATCACTTCTCGCTTCGAAAAGAAGTCGGCGATGGTTCTTTTCAGTTATCAAAAGCAAATAGTATCTTTAAAGCTACGGATGTGGTTACAATACTGATGGTGCGGTTAGTGCAGAAAATGCTAAAAGAACTATGATTTTCCAGTTGTAAATAATGGAGCCCCTGCAAGTTATTATGAAGGTATGATTGATGCAGCTAGTAGTGCAATGAATGAACTTAGAATTTGAAATCAAGTTGGCTTGACAACAGTAGACGAAGTGTTAAAAGCCAATGTGAATGGTTATCGAATAGGTCGCAATGCTGAGCCAGAAAATGTTACTATTGGGACTAACGGGCAAGATTTTTCTGACGCAACGGTGGTAAATAATATCAAATCACATTTCTGGAAATATAAAGGGTTTGAAATTGTTTCTTCGGAGCAAAAAATGGCTACGGCGGCTAATTGGGCTGCACAAGGTGGCCAAGGTGTTTTTCCTGTTTCAAATAGAAAAATTATGAAATAATGACTTAGCCGAAAAATATTCAAAAAGTTCAGAATTTTCTTTTATTAGCAATAATAATAAACAAAAAAAACTAATAAAAACTTTCACTTATGCTTCAAAACCAACAATTTCTTATCAAAAACCTGGCTGAATTAGAACAATTAGAAAGCGGAATAATTATTACTCCTGACTTAATTAATTAAATCATTTCTAAGCCAGAACAGAATGGATTTTCCTTTCGACTTCAATAATTTTTCCTCTATTTCAGTAATTTTATCTTAAATTTATCTCTATCAATCGTTTGAATTTGGTCGACTAAAATTACACACTTTTTTTAGTTGAATGGAAACTTGAAAAGAAAATACCTTATCACCTTCTTTTAAGAAAATAATGAGCATAATAATAATAGTTATTAAAGGACTAGCGAAATTTTGCCTATTAGAAACTACTAAGCAAGGGTGGATTCTCGTCCTTTACTGTCAGGTAAATCAACTCAATAAATATCTCCTCTTTTAATTAACATTTCTGCCATTTACTTTTTTACTTTATTTAACCGTTTCTGGCTTGTTTATTCAACTTTCTATTCCTGCCTTTTCTCATTGTTTAGCTGCTTTTAGCATTCGAGTATTAGCATCAAAAACTAAGGCATCAGGAATACTTTCTTGATAACAAAGATGTAAATCAGAACGCTTTCGCGCCAACCATTATTTTCTCCTACTTTTCCGATTCTTTCTCTACCAAAATTGCAAAACAACTCTCACTGTGACTGCGATATTAAACTGTGAAAAGAAACTTCGTACTTAAACGCCCATACAACTGCCTTTGCCATGACCATCAATAGGGCACAAGATGTCAAACGTTAAATTACGTAGAGTTATTGGCCGACTCCAGTATTTTCTCATGGCCAACTTTATGTTCCTTGCTCTAGGACTATGATATTTAACTGAATAATAAATTTCTATGTTTTATATAATATAGGAGGAATGATTATAGTGCTTAATAGTTCATTTTCGTCGCTATGCTCTCATTATTGACGGTTACACACTACACGTATGCAGTTAGACCGTCGGGTTACAAACTCAATCTAGGTAATTATCGCGAGGAACTTTTATTCACAACGAGGTGACTCAATCTAGGTAATAGAGCAGCCACAAATAATATCTTTTGGATTTGATCGTTGGTCAGTTCTGAAATAGAATTTGCACCGTATGCTTTAAGATACTTAATTTTATCTATACCTATTTTTTCGAATAATTTTACGATGTACCCCAGGTACAAAAGTTACACCTCAGATCTCAGACCACTATATACAGTATGTATATTTCTGTCCATCCTTTTTAGATCACACTTATAAGGTAGACGGGTAATTTGGCGCTACTAAGTGAAATTT